ACAGAGACACATGCCTCATCCACAGACACATCCCTCACCCACAGAGACACATGCCTCATCCACACAGACACATCCCTCACCCACACACACATCCCTCATCCACACAGACACATCCCTCACCCACAGAGACACATGCCTCATCCACACAGACACATCCCTTCACAGACACATCCCTCACCCACACAGACACATCCCTCACCCACACAGACACATCCCTCACCCACACAGACACATGCCTCACCCACAGACACATCCCTCACCCACACAGACACATCCCTCATCCATCCACACAGACACATCCCTCATCCACACAGACACATGCCTCACCCACACAGACACATCCCTCACATCCCTCATCACCCACACACCCCTCACCCACACAGACACATCCCTCATCCACACAGACACATCCCTCATCCCCACACAGACACATGCCTCATCCACACAGACACACATCCCTCACCCACACAGACACATCCCTCATCCACACACACATCCCTCACCCACACAGACACATGCCCACCCACACACACACCCACACAGACACATCCCTCATCCACACAGACACATGCCTCATCCACATCCCTCACCCACACAGACACATCCCTCACACCCACAGACACATCCCTCACCCACAGACCTCACCCACACAGACACATCCCTCACCCACAGAGACACATCCCTCATCCACACAGACACATCCCTCACCCACACAGACACATCCCTCACCCACACAGACACATCCCTCACCCACAGAGACACATCCCTCACCCACAGAAACACACCCCTCACCCACACAGATGCTGCTCCCCACAGAAGCTGTGTTTATGTATACTGCCAGGCTGTTCCCACAGGTCACCAGTGTCCAAGAAGTGATACAATGGTCACTAACACAGCTCTCTTGACACCACTGAAGGGTATTCTTCCCCTTACCACTCTGATCCGCAACAAAACACAGATCAAGTTTGAGGATTCCCTAGATTCCCCTCGAGTCTGTATTGGTCTGGTAGTTCAACACATCCCAGCTGATAGGGTATAATAGCTGCCTCCTACCTGGCTCACAGTGTACACAGCCATGTCCACAATACCAACATATGTAACACTTCTTTGTTAACACCACTGATGACTCACTCAGCAAGTCACTCAACTTAGACGTGTAGACGATGTCATGTTTGAAAGTCAGTAAAGCTGAAAAAATATCACCCTGAATGATCCACATTTTCCTCACATCAAACAGTCATAAAACTCTTAAGAAACCACTCAAATGAATCAATTAAAGGACATTTTTGAAATTCTTGAAGAGAAAAGTTTACAGTTTTTTGCACTAGCATCTATCAGGTGGTGACAAATGTATCTATTCAATGATCATCCAAGATGTAGTGGTACCATGAACACAATTGAACATGTGACAGCGACATTTCAGCGGCCACGCAAACATCCCCTCCTCCCTCTCCTCCACTCAGTGACACATGCTTCAGGTTTGTGGTGTAGCATCCCACTCACCCAGTCTCCCACTCACCCAGTCTCCCACTCACCCAGTCTCCAGTACTGTTATGTAAGCAACTCTTCATCAGGCAATCCAGTGACACACATCATGAGCATCAATCCAGTGACACACATCATGAGCATCAATCCAGTGACACACATCATGAGCATCAATCCAGTGACACACATGGTGACACACAGACACATCATGAGCATCAATCCAGTGACACACATCATGAGCATCAATCCAAATTGGACACAATGACACACTATCAATCAAATCTTTAAGTCGGTCCACCTGATCTATTTAGTTACCTTTCACCACAAGCATGGGCTGTTGGGCCCAAGTTCTAGCCCGTACACCCCAAGTGGAGACAGGCATGGACGGCTGGGGGGTCCGTACCCCCAGGAGCAAACCAATGACAACACAAACAAACAATGACATAGCACGATGAAATACCACAAATATTGATATGACACCATGATGATTAACAAGCACAACAACATAATAAACAAAAATGATGATATACAAGAAAAGAGGTTTCCCTGTGCACACTTGCTCAAACAGTTCATCTCTATACATAACAATGATTGCCATTCTGCTTCAAACACTTGAGGTGTAAAAAAAAGTTGCATACCTGCAATAACTTTAAACTCAAACAATAATGGCTGACTGGAGAATGACTAACACACTTGACCAAATCTATGTCTAACAGGAAAGGTGCATTCCCGTCTCAAGTGGCTGCCTCACACAACACACCTTCATGTTAGTGGTGGGACCTCCACACATCTCAATGTTTGTGGTGTGACCTCCACACACCTCCATGTTCGTGGTGGGACCTCCTGTGTCTGTGTCATTAAATTTACATTTCATAAGCACTACAAGCTCATTCCAAGTCATGATTAAATTATCTTAAAGAATCCAGGCAATATGTGTTCCTAACATACTAATCATCATTTAAATATGCAAATGGCCTTTATGCAATTTGCAAAAAAAACAAATAACTACATGTTTTTTCTTTATTATTTTGTGTGCATTAACAAAAATAACAGGAACATTTGATAAATGACGCTAACCAATTATTTTTGATGATTGATCGGTTGTAATAGACCAATCATCAATTATTAGATTTTAAACAATTCCCAACACTACTCCACACATCTCCATGGTTGTGATGGGACCTCCACACACCTCCATGTTTGTAGTGGGACCTCCACACATCTCAATGTTTGTGGTGTGACCTCCACACACCTCCATGTTTGTGGTGGGACCTCCACACATCTTCATGTTTGTGGTGTGACCTCCACACACACCTCCATGTTTGTGGTGTGACCTCCACACACCTCCATGTTTGTGGTGGGACCTCCACACACCTCAATGTTTGTGGTGGGACCTCCACACACATTCATGTTTGTGGTGGGACCTCCACACACCTCCATGTTTGTGGTGGGACCTCCACACATCTCAATGTTTGTGGTGGGACCTCCACACACCTCCATGTTTGTGGTGGGACCTCCACACACCTCCATGTTTGTGGTGGGACCTCCACACACCTCAATGTTTGTGGTGGGACCTCCACACACCTCAATGTTTGTGGTGGGACCTCCACACATCTCAATGTTTGTGGTGGGACCTCCACACATCTCCATGTTTGTGGTGGGACCTCCACACATCTCCATGTTTGTGGTGGGACCTCCACACACCTCCATGTTTGTGGTGGGACCTCCACACACCTTCATGTTTGTGGTGGGACCTCCACACATCTCCATATTTGTGGTGGGACCTCCACACACCTTCATGTTTGTGGTGGGACCTCCACACACCTCCATGTTTGTGGTGGGACCTCCACACATCTCAATGTTTGTGGTGTGACCTCCACACACCTCTATGTTTGTGGTGGGACCTCCACACACCTTCATGTTTGTGGTGTGACCTCCACACACCTCAATGTTTGTGGTGGGACCTCCACACACCTTCATGTTTGTGGTGGGACCTCCACACACCTCAATGTTTGTGGTGGGACCTCCACACATCTCAATGTTTGTGGTGGGACCTCCACACACATTCATGTTTGTGGTGGGACCTCCACACACCTCCATGTTTGTGGTGGGACCTCCACACACCTCCATGTTTGTGGTGGGACCTCCACACACCTCCATGTTTGTGGTGGGACCTCCACACACCTTCATGTTTGTGGTGGGACCTCCACACACCTTCATGTTTGTGGTGGGACCTCCACACATCTCAATGTTTGTGGTGGGACCTCCACACATCTCAATGTTTGTGGTGGGACCTCCACACACATTCATGTTCGTGGTGGGACCTACACACACCTTCATGTTCGTGGTGGGACCTACACACACCTTCATGTTTGTAGTGGGACCTCCACACACCTCCATGTTTGTGGTGGGACCTCCACACACCTCCATGTTTTTGGTGGGACCTCCACACACCTTCATGTTTGTGGTGGGACCTCCACACATCTCAATGATTGTGGTGTGACCTCCACACATCTCAATGTTTGTGGTGGGACCTCCAAACATCTCCATGTTTGTGGTGGGACCTCCACACACCTTCATGTTTGTGGTGTGAGCTCCACACATCTCAATGTTTGTGGTGTGGCCTCCACAGACCTTCATGTTTGTAGTGGGACCTCCACACACCTTCATGTTTGTAGTGGGACCTCCACACACCTTCATGTTTGTGGTTGGACCTCCACACACCTCCATGTTTGTAGTGGGACCTCCACATGTTTGTGGTGGGACCTTCACCTTTTGTGGTGGGACCTCCACACACCTTCATGTTTGTAGTGGGACCTCCACACACCTCCATGTTTGTAGTGGGACCTCCACACACCTTCATGTTTGTGGTGGGACCTCCACACACCTACATGTTTGTGGTGTGAGCTCCACACACCTTCATGTTTGTAGTGGGACCTCCACACACCTCCATGTTTGTAGTGGGACCTCCACACACCTTCATATTTCCACACATATCCTGCATCTCAAACTACCAAGACACATGCATAGGAACCAGTTTCAGATAAGTATCAGTAACTGTGTCACTATCTGCACCATTATTTGTATGAAATTAAACTTGAGCATAAATTGAACCTCCACAGCCATAATTTCAGTGTTACTTTCATGATGTGAGAACATGTCGTGAGATTCAGCCCAATGATCTCTCTCCCGCATGGGTAGAGTGTGTAGAGCACAGCTCCATCCCCTATTGTGATATTCTAGTATATTGTGGTTAAAACCATATCCCACCAGAAGTCACAACAATATTCCTGTCTTAAACAGTATCCCTATTTCTAAAGACATTTTTAGAAACTATCAACGTAACAGTTAACACATGAGATGGCGGCCACACCAGTGAGCCTGTATATCTGGATTGACCACTCCTTGCCTAACCACATGGAGTGTCTGCTTCATAGTCGACTTGATTTTCTGCTCTATGAAGAAACCACAACTAGCCTATATATATAAGCAGGTCTCAACCCCCTGGGGTGCTTTCAGTGCCAGGGGGAATTGCCTTACAACCTTCACCAGGTCTCCCAATTCTTGTCTTGGGATGGAGTAGCCTGTTGACCTGATGGACAAGTTCGGGGTTTGAGGTTAGCTAGGTGCCTGGCCAATCAGAGACCACACCAAACAGGGATGGTTCCTACCACTCCCTAACACCCTACTCTAGTCAGCCATTGTCCACAGCCTGCAAGTCTACCTATGTATCCTTGTTACCACCAGCCGATTGGGCAGCCTGCATGCCACTTAGAGACGTTAAAACTTTGGAGCAAATACGACGACAGATGATAGGAGCTCTTGTGTCAATGGAGGGGTGAAAAAACAGGAAAACCACAAAAATGTTATCAGGCGGGAAGAGGGAGAGTTGGCGACTGCTGCATATCATCCTCGCCCCAACTAGGCACAGCACACAATATTTATTCAGATTGTTTCCAATTGGAACAGAAACTCATCTCAATTACTGCTTTTAATCTGATAACAGGCCTTAATGTGACAATCACGCCCTCCCTGTCAGACTCAAGTAGGAAATACTTTGAAGCTTTGTCACATTTACTTCAAAACTTTGCAATTTCTTATGATGCGTCTCTTGTTTTGATGACACCAGTGTCCTGCCTTGCCCCACTCTACCCTCGGGAGAGTAGAGACATCTGACCCCTGGTGTCCACAGTAGACGATGGGGACAATATCGCGCAACATGGGACCACAGTGACACCTGGTGTCAGTCAGGAGTACCACATAGGATTCAAGTCTGTTCATTAACAAGGTAAGTTTGAATGATTTATTTCTCAATTACTGAAAGATCCCGACTCTTGTGACTAACACATATCCACAAACATCATCCCCAGTCTGAACTAGGAGAACCATTACTCAGACGACATAGGTTTAAGAATAAATTCATTGCTAATTCATTAAAGCATTAAAACATCAATCTTGAGAATAACACAAACTCATATATATTAGATTTATCCATAAAAACAATCAAAGCACATTACATTTTTATGAAACAATATTAATTACTGCATCCAACAAAAACGTACAGCTGTACATTAGTGAGGTAAACGTTTACTGCTGCATCTGCATCACCACAGCCGTAAACTAGCAGCAGATGCACAGGGCGAACCAGATACTGTCATAGTTGGAAGGTAATATTCATGATCATTACCATGTTGATAAACGACCAGACTCGGAACTGAAATACATTAATGTTCAAGCATAATCACTCAGTTTGTCTCACCTCCATCATGACATTAGTTGACAAGTATCTGGACTTAGTTTCTCTAACAAATGATCTTCCTCCCATGGCAATGGCTGGGAAGTAAACATGTCACAGGGTGGAAATAACTTTAAATTTGCTAGTGTACTCTGGTACAGTGGCACATGTGAAATCACTTGCCCTGAACATTTTTCCACTATACCGGCCATTTTCTTGTTGAATTTTTTAAATAAACAACATATTTAACATTAGAAAGTCATCAAATCTGTGTCATCAAATCCTAAAGACTTAAATGTCCAACTGCCACCATTTTGGAAAATCTTCACCGGAAACATATGATGTCCCCAAAGCAAGAAGTGTTCTGTAGCCTGAGAACCAGGAGACCCTTCTGAAGATAGCCCCTCCTTGGCAAGATGCAGACCACCATAAACAAAACATATTTGCTTTTACTGACTTTCGTAACTGAGACTTGCTGCGATAATACATACTGGTATGATATATCTGTAGTGTGTGTGTGATATACCTGTAGTGTGTATGTAATTAGTATGTTATACACCTGTAGTGTGTGTAATATTATGTGTGTGATATACCTATAGCATGTGATACACTTGTATGTGAGATACCTGTAGCGTGCATGTGATATACCTGTAGCATGTGTGTGATGCACCTGTAGTATGTGTGTGAAGCACCTGTAGTGTGTGTGATGCACCTGTAGTATGTGTGTGATACACCTGTAGTGTGAGTGATGCACCTGTAGAGTGTGTGATGCACCTGTAGTGTGAGTGATGCACCTGTAGTGTGTGTGTGATATACCCGTTGTGTGTGATGCACCTGTAGTGTGTGTGATGCACCTGTAGTGTGAATGATGCACCTGTAGTGTGAGTGATGCACCTGTAGTGTGAGTGATGCACCTGCAGCATGTGTTATATACCTGTTGTGTGTGTGATGCACCTGTAGTATGTGTGATGCACCTGTTGTATATGTGATGCACCTGTAGTATGTGTGTGATGCACCTGTAGTTCGAGTGATGCACCTGTAGTATGTGTGATATACCTGTAGTGTGAGTGATGCACCTGTAGTATGTGTGATATACCTGTAGCCTGCATGTGATGCACCTGTAGTATATGTGTGATGCACCTGTAGTATATGTGATGCACCTGTAGTATGTGTGTGATGCACCTGTAGTATGTGTGATGCACCTGTAGTATGTGTGTGATGCACCTGTAGTATGTGAGTGGTTCACCTATTGAACATGTATGGGCACTCTCTTCCCACAGAGGTTACTCCTGTCATATCTTCCTACGTAACCTCTGTTCTAATACGGCCCTTTCATGGTGTGAGCGTTCAAGACTCGTGATTGGAGACAATCAGATTTAGTTGTGCAATCAACAGCGTTGTTTCAAAGTGATCATTGCAACCTCGGTAATTTCCGGTATAGCCGAGAAAACTAAACTTCTTCTGCTTGGCGATGCCATAGCGTTTCTTCTAGACAGAACTCAGTTATGTTATGCGGATACCAGTGGCGTCTCCATGCGCCCTCGTTGACAGCGGACAAACTAGCCATTAAGCGTCTTGTGTGTAACATCAACACAAGTCCCGGCAGATGGGGGATATTTGTGGCCCCACATTTGCTTGTGTTAGTCAAAGTTGAATCTAAGTCGATGTAATAGGTGTTTTGATTGGATAGAAAGAAGGAGATAATTTGTGTTGCGATGCTTTTTGTAGTAGGGATTTTACGAGAACCAGGAAAGTATGGACGATATGAACAGAGGTATGTTAGGAAGATATGTTAACCTCTTGGAAGAGAATAATGTATGGGATGCTCTTGGAAGAAGTCTGAATGTTCAAGAGCTGGATGCCATGTTGGTGCAGCAATGGTGCAGGTCGCGTAATGCTTGGCTCACGGGTGTCAGGCAGTCATTGAGACAATGTTGCCTTGCTGTTGTATACGAGCGGGGTACACTAGCGGTACTGAACAAGCTCTAATACAGATGGCTAGTCCCTGTGAAATCAAAAGGTGACCCCATCGTGCTACTACTGCCTGTGGAGGGTGCACCAAGCGCACCTTAATGCTTAATCCCGTTTTAGTGTATGCTCATTAGGTCCATAAACCAGATGCATCCACTAGCAAAAAACTTTGTTCTATACAGCTATGTTTGGGATATAAAGTAACATGTGAAGTTTCTTTTATTGTTTAGTATATGTGAGTATGAGTTGCATAATTGTGTCCCTCGGATGCTATGTGGCATGCTGTGGCGCTATATCAACCTGACATATCAAAATAATCAGCATTAAATAAACATTAAATACATCGGCACTCTTAATTTTGTGTAGTGAGAGCACTCACTATTAAATCTAGTATTGTGATCACTAGGCCATATCTATTATATCAAATGACTTATTTATATTCATGTAAATTAATATATTCAATCTTGATAATACTGTCCATAAATAACAGCCTCTAATGTGAAACCTTGCGTGGTTGATGTCACAGCTTTTTTTGCTTTTTGTGTCTGTGTTGGCTGTTCACAACATCAGGACTGATCCGCTGTTTGTATTCAACATAAGCTAACGTACGGCCCTGAGATTAATGTCCAATATTTAATGACCTACCTTTTGATCCACATTTTATCATGTGATATAGACACAGAAAATTCCATTAAATAATTCCTCCATTTTAGCCACACTCAATACCTAAATCATCCAGAGCAACAGCTGTCCAAATTTATTGAACATAAGTGCTTAAAAAAATAATAAACTTTAAACCAACAGCTCATATTCTCTGAATTCTATGATATCCTTTATTGCAAATAAAAAAATAAATAAAAAAAAATTCATTCTTGTTTCCGAATTATTGACTGTGATCATAACGGGCTACCTGATAAGGTGAATTCATCTTTGCCACATTACATAAATAGGTCACTTTCCACAATATTACCTTTATCTAAACCTTGTGAGATGGTGCCTAACAAACAGGAACACAATACATTCTGCAGACAGTTTAGACTGCGAATATATAATCAGTGTCACCTGAACAGTGAAACCTGATATTTTTCAATATCTAAACAAATATCTCTCTTTCTATCAACAATAGTTTATTCATGTTTTCTAAAGAATTTAAAACGGTCCTCAAGAACAAATACAAAATATACTCTGGCAGAAACACTTTCTGTGAACTCTTAATGAGTTTTACCTGATAAGGTAAATTAGTATTTTCCCATAACACAGTAATAGGCAATTAACCCCAGTAATTACCACCAGAACAACAGTAATTACCACCAAGCTTGACACATCATCGACTAGCTTACTACAAGTCATTAATATAAATGTTGACACACACATACAAAACACCTAATACATATTTTATGAAACAATGACAGAAGCTCTCCTCTTATCACCTGACTGATCAATAACTCGCACATTTGAACAGATGACATGTGCCGCAGCAGAAGCCCACAATGCACGATGTCCCTGATGCACGATGGTCTATATAAATATGTTGTCATAGGCTGTCCTGTCCCACCCCAACACCAAGTCAGGAGACATCCTTCAGTAACAATCAGGCTTGTGACAATAGTTCAGGTTCACTAGGCTATAGCTGGTATTGACAGAAGTTCCGTGAAGTGACATTGTACATTAAGCTGAAGCTCACTGCTTCTTTTATGTGATGTGGCTGAACATATTTCCTGTGCATCTAACTGAACTGGTGATTTAGATTAACATGAATATCGGTTGTAGGAAATCCTCACTTTAAAACTGTTACACATTAGTCGGGTGGTGTAGAATAACGTGTTGTAAGAATTCCCTTATATTTCATCAAACACTAAACACTTGTAGAGATTACTGTGTATACAGTTCTTCGTCAATATGCGAATCATGAGGAATAAAAATATAAATGTCATTACAAGTGGTGTTCAGTTGCTTACCTAAACCTAAGTTCTCGAATTTAAAATTTATGACATTCTGACAGTTAGTTATTTAGGACATTTAGGTTTATATTGGGCAGTTTCACCATGGTCTCAAATATACCCTCTGATGTTCCTACTGAAGCCAGAGTGACTGACAGATGGACAGATGGACAGACAGAGTGACAGATGGAGAGTGACACAGATGGACAGAGTGACAGACAGATGGACAGAGTGACAGACAGATGGACAGACAGATGGACAAAGAGTGACAGACAGATGGACAGACAGAGTGACAGACAGATGGACAGACCCATATGTATTGTTTCATTTTCAATAAAAAGTTGTATTTTCAGGTATGTGAAAGGATTTGCCATTTTACATGAAGTAGGGAATTCCTAGTGAGCAATAAAATTAATTATTGAAAGAATATTCCCTAGGATAGAGTCAATGGCCTTGAGTTGAAACAATGAAATTTAATTGTCTGGTTTATCAGTCTCTTCTATTGTGGTTTAACCAATCATATTTGCCTAAAAATACAATCTCACACTACTTTACTGAAAACTGTTTGAGACAATACTAAATGAGTTCCATATCCAATGTCCATAAAAGACAAAACATTTTATTCTACCAATTCCTTATTTG